TGTTAAAAGCAGATAGAAGATAACTTAATTCAAATTTGCTTAAATAAATATATACAATATAGTACAAAATTTTGGAATATTATTTATATAATATAAATGCATATATATTTTTCAAAACAAAAGCAATTTATATAAAATTTTAAATATGTAAACCACATTTTTCAAACAATATATATAAGTACTTAAAATTATTTGATTATTTTATTTTTGTTAAAAACTTGTTCTTATAATGTTATTTTCTAAAAAAAGTACTTAATAATAAATAATATTATATTTATGAAATAATAGAATTACTTCTGCATATAAACTATATTCCAAAACTGGCATAAGCATATCAACTATCTATTATAATTTCAAAAAATTGAATTTAAAAAGCAATAATTTAAGAAAATCTGATAGTAGTCATCTTAAAAAGTTTTTAATACATAAATCAAAAGTAATTGACAATATTTATGTTATAATTCAAGACTTTTCTCAAGAACTTTAGCAATTTAATTATTAAATATTAATACAAAAGTATTATATTCAACAATTTTAAGATATTTGACCAATTTGAATTACAAAAGTAATTTATTTTTAGAAATATTTATTCTTACTATGGCTTATAAAAAAGTTTATATTATTTGAACAAAAAAAACATTCTGATAATAACTGAAAAAAACATTATTTTTTGGTGAAACAGCATTTCAACTATTCAAAAATATAATTACTCAATGATAAAAATATATAAAACTAGTTAAAAGAATACTTAAAGATTATACTAAAATCTTTGTATAGGAAAAATTTGTACAAAAGAAAAACTTCACTTTGTTTTAAAGAAATTATGGATATAAAATTTTATATTAATATTTTGCAAAATTATAAACAAGAAATTAATAGACTATTTGAAAATAATTAGTGTTTTTAACAATATAATGATCCCAAGCCTACAAGTAAAATTGCTAAAACATTTTTAAATAAAAAATTTTCAGAAATTTTTGATTGGCCTTCTAACAGTCCAGATTTAAATTTTATTAAAAACCTTTGAGTTATTACTAAAAGAAATGTAGAATGAAATTATCAAAAAATATTTTAGAATTAGAACAATTTATGATAGAAGAATATGATAAAATTTCAAATAAGGTTTTACATAATTTTATATATTCAATAAAAGAGAGATGAGAATCAATAATTGAAAATAATAGTAAAAGAATTAATTATTTGTTTTATATTAATAAAATTTCAAGATTCATAGCTTTATTTTGATAAATAAGAAATTATTGTATATATCATACCCTTTAAAATCAATTAGTCATTTTAAATTAATTTACATATACAATTATATAGTATTTATTTACTTATATAAAAACTTTAAGTATGAACTTACAGCTAAAAATAAAATATTTTGTTTATCAAAAGATGTAAAAATTATTTTTATACTAATAAATTAATAATTAGAAATATAAATAAAAAAATTAGTTCTTTGAATAAAAATAAGATAAAATAACAAGCTTTCTTGCCAAAGAAGAATAATAAAATAGACATGATATTCCTAAATAATAACCAGAATAAAGTTACAAAAACAAAATAGATCAAATAAAAGAACTGAATCCAGAACCAAAACCCAAAGAGAACGTGAAAAGCTTTAAGAATAATTGCTTCAGATAATCCTCATCAACAATCTGAGCTACAGAGAGCAATAAAAGATAAAATAAAAAGTAGAATTTTAGTAAAACGGTATTCAATTATTTTTAATCACCTCCGGTGGGTAAAAGCTTACGAGAACGTATCCAATAGCACCAATTCCCATTATCGAAGAATAAAATGTCTAACTGTGATATTTTAACATAAATTTATCCAAGGAGCGTGTCTCTTCAGGGTACTATTTTGAAAGTCGTAATTCAGCAGATGTTTATTTTATTATGCACTAAAATATTTAATTACAATGACAATAACATTTAAAATCTAGAAAAATTTGTTTTATATTCCGTCACTTGATTTAAGATCAATTGAAAAAATTAAAAAGCATAATTTATTATATCTTTTCCATTTAATTTCTCTAGCTAAACCCTGTTTATGTTTTAATTTAGTATCCTTTTAAAATTATTTATTACAGATGGATTCTTTGGAGTGTGATCGTAGGATAAAAGTTCTTAGAGTGCGCTATCATCACAAGATATGTTAACGGATTTGTTCGTTTTTATTGCCTCAATGTAAATAAAATCGAAAACTGAAAGATTATTAATATTGTTTGCGTGATTGTTTTCAATATTAGATTTATTTAACTAATGCGTGTGGATATTTTTTGTATATCTCTGCAAAGCTAAATGGCTTTGACGTCTATTTCAATATTATGTAATTTTTTGCCCAATTCATTTGACAAAGCAGATGCCTCATCTAATATACAGTATATTGTAATTGTTCGGTAGCATCGATATATTTGTTTTGCAAGAGTAAAGAATCATTCGGTTTTTGTAAGGGTAATGTACCTTTGCTTAAATGTATATTAGTTAGTATTAAATTAGAGTTTCTAAATATTAAAATATGCGTACCTTTCCTGAAAAAACCAAATCAAAAAAAAAAATTACAAGCGTCTGACAGATATTTGAAAATAGAACGCGAAGTTTTCCTACTCGAAAAAAAAAGCATATCTTATAGACTTTGGAATAAGCAGACCCAGTGGCACAAGATCACAAGAAGTTGATGAGAATATGCCGTTTATGGCACCTGAAGCCATTAAAGGGCAAGGATACACTAAGTCAGGAGACATTTACAGCTTTGGTATGCTAATGTATAAAATTTCCTCTGGGAATCCTCCGTTTAAATACTGTATAGAGACATTAAGCACTAGGAATGTTATAGTGTTCCACCGTCAAAAAATAAATTTTAAAATCATAAATTCAAAAGAATCCAACAGCTTGTATTTAATAAGTAACTCTTATTGAACTGCGACTTTAAGTATGTTTTGTGACTCTTAATATATAATTCTATTTTAAAAGGCCACAATTTTGTTGAAAACGTTGAGACGGAACCGGTTCTAGAACCGCGATTTCAACTCAATTTTTTTAGGATATTTAAGTTCTAGAAAAGTTTTCCTTTGTTCCTAATAAGTAACCTTAGTTTAAAAATTGTTATAAACATATTTAATTAGTAACTTGTGATAAAAATATCATCTCTGAAATTGGTAATTTCTTTAGAACCGATTAACCTCCCTATTTCACTCGATATTTGTAACACATCCTCTTGACCTGGGAACTCCAAAATGATATGCGACCTCAAGGGTCGTTGCTGGGAAACAGATCCTTTGAGGCGAATTTAGAATGATTTACTAGCACTACGTAATGATTGGCGTGCATATGCATACAATATGTACTGTACATGTATTACGTAACACATAAAATATCTGATAAAAAGTCGCAAAAACCAACACAAAAAAAACAATAACTCAGATAAAACGCTTAATATTGAACCATAGAACGGAACCTTCATAAAGAGATTTTTTTTTCTTCACTTTCTAATATTTCACTTAAATTTAAATCTTAGTGATGGGTATCATTATCCATGGCAATGTCACTTTCTATGGCGGTGGCCGTATCCGTGGCAATGTAGAAGTCTATGGAAATGTCACTTTCAGACCCCGTCGCCGTTATTACTATTAATTACACCCATTTAAATGTAAAAATCAAGGTAACGTACACATGTTTATGCCTTGAATTAACAGATGAAAATTTTGTGATAAAAAAACTGATTATATCTATTTAATTGCAGCCAAACTTTAAAATCAAATGAAATATATTAAATTGTATAACGGCACAATCATGTAATGCGATATATTCGCAATTTTTTTTAATGTATAAGTTGCTGTTTCCAGCAACGATTTATTTCATAAATAAAGTATTGACAACGCCTACAGGCCGGCCATTATTTTGTATGTATTTTAAAGGTCTTAGCTGCCTAGAAGAGTTTTAACTATTAGTTATCAGAATGTAACATGCGTCAGGATAGCGCATATTACCATATTATTTTTGAAAAATTATGAAATCTTTAATATTAATCAGTATTGTAATGATATTATTTAGTTCATATAATTTTTAAAGATTCGTCTTGATTTTCTTTAAGTATACTTTGAAAACTATTTTTTAATTATTATTTAGCATCTTATAATTTATTAATAGATTTTTTTTCAACAATCTTAGAATTTTATTTAAAAATTAAATTAATATTACTTATTAAAAATATGAATATAAAAATTCGCATGCCTTAAATGAGCGTCGGTTTATCGAGTGTCCATTTAATTTATCTAATTTTAGATAAATTAAACTATAAAAATGTCGTAATTGATGCATTTAATGATGTGCATCAATTGAACTATATATAGTTTAATCTTGCTACAGTGTATACAGGAACATTGCTATTATTGTGAAAAAAAATCTCTTTATGAACGTTCCGCCCTATGTTCATACATCTTTTACCTGAATTTTAATGCAGTTACGTATATGAGTACACTAAGGATGTTGCCCAAACTTTTTGGGACGACTCAAACCATATTATAATTTATTACGTACATGGATTTCTACCGATTACATAATAATGTGTATCGTCATAGGGTTTGAGTCATCTTAAACAGTCAGTTTAAATAACCTCCCCGTCTACGGAGAACATCCGAACCTCTGCTCTTACCCTATAAAGTAATGGGCGTTACTTTATGCATTTTTGCATATATACCGTATACGTACAAAAAATTAACCACCTAAGTACGTACGTACCTATACGATAAGTAGTTTTTCCAATAAGACATTTACTTTTCATAGAAACCTGCTGATATGGGAGACGCTCACGAAATATTTAATCTTGGCCAGCGTTATCAAAATGGAATTGGAGTTGAAAAGAATGAACAAGAAGCATTCAAATGTTATCGAAAATCCGCCGAGATGGGTGATGCTACGGGAACACATATGGTTGGCTATTGTTATAAAAATGGAATTGGAGTTGAAAATAATGAACAAGATTCACGCGACGATATGGTTTTACCAACCGCATGGAGTCTCGATGATAAATCTACTTTTTTGAGCGTAGATTCAGGCGGACTTGGAGTGATTCATAAAGGTAAATAATTTACCCACAATGCCGTAGACATAGATAGGTCAACCTAACGAATGAATTAAGACTATATATGTTTCTGAAATAATATTAATTTTGCAATTGCACAGGTCCGAGTGATTACGCTGCAATACTGGCAAATCACCCAATTCCACCGCAATGCGAACTGTTTTATTTTGAAGTTGACATTATAGAAGGAAGAAATAGGTAGTCGAAAAATATTTCCTCCATAAATAGAACAAATAATTTTAAATTTTGCTTATAATTTGTTTATATTCGATTCAAAAGGGAAAACAAAAGATTTATTGGAATTGGATTTTGCGAAAAGACTGTTGATTTAAACGGAGTACCAGGTAATTAAAACTTTGTTTTATCATATTGAACATAATTATTCAATGTTGTTATTAATGTGTTTCCATAGGATTGTTTAATAAATCCTGGGGTTATCATGGTGATGATGGAAAATTCTTTCGCGAATCGCCGAATAATGGCCATCCTTACGGACCGTTGTTTTCTACTGGTGATACTATTGGATGCTGTTTAAATTTTAGAAATAATACTGTATTCTATACTAAAAACGGAGTAAACCTAGGTAATCATTTCATTAATATTATATATGTGTTTGTCTTTTTATATTAAGTGTAAGGCCTTTGATATTTTTATAACAAAATTTTAAGGAATTGCATCCCGAGATTTGAATGGCATCTTATATCCTTGTGTTGGAATGACATCAAAAGGCTTATCTATAGAAGTAAATTTCGGGCATAAAAAGTTCAAATATAGTATTGGAAATGAAAAGGCATTCAAATATTATCAAAAATCGGCCGATATGGGTCATGCTGGTGGAATGAATAGTGTTGGTGATTGTTATCAAAATGGAATTGGAGTTGAAAAAGATGAACACGAAGCATTCAAATATTATAAAAAATCAGCTGATATGGGCCACGCTGGTGGAACAAATAGTGTTGGTGATTGTTATCAAAGTGGAATTGGAGTTGAAAAGGATGAACACGAAGCATTCAAATATTATAAAAAATCAGCTGATATGGGCCATGCTGGTGGAATGAATAGTGTTGGTGGTTGTTATCAAAATGGAATTGGAGTTGAAAAGGATGAACATGAAGCATTCAAATATTATCAAAAATCCGCTGAGATGGGTAATACCACTGGAACATATATGATTGGATATTGTTATCAAAATGGAATTGGAGTTGAAAAAAACGAGCACGAAGCATTCAAATATTATCAAAAATCCGCTGAGATGAGTGAAATTACTGGAACATATATGGTTGGTAATTGTTATCAAAATGGAATTGGAGTTGAAAAGAATGAACGTGAAGCATTCAAATATTATCAAAAATCCGCCGAGATGGGTAATACATCTGGAACATATATGGTTGGTGATTGTTATAAAGATGGAATTGGGGTTGAAAAGAATGAACATAAAGCATTTAAATATTATCAAAAATCAGCTGATATGGGTCATGCTAGTGGAATGAATAATGTTGGCTACTGTTATCAAAATGGAATTGGAGTTGATAAGGATGAACAAGAAGCGTTCAAATATTATCAAAAATCCGCCGAGATGAGTAATGCCACTGGAACATATATGATTGGCTATTGTCATCAAAATGGGATTGGAGTTGAAAAAAACGAACATGAAGCATTCAAATATTATCAAAAATCCGCCGAGATGGGTAATACATCAGGAACATATATGGTTGGTGTTTGTTATCAAAATGGAACCGGGATCGAAAAGGATGAATATAAAGCATTTGAATATTATAAAAAATTTGCTGATATGGGTGATGCAAATGGAACATATATGGTTGGTGATTGTTATCAAAATGGAATTGGAGTTGAAAAGGATGAACAAGAAGCATTCAAATATTATCAAAAATCCGCGGAGATGGATAGTGCTACTGGGACATATATGATTGGCTATTGTTATCAAAATGGGATTGGAGTTGAAAAGAACGAACGTGAAGCATTTAAATATTATCAAAAATCAGCAAATATGGGTCATGTAGATGGAATGGATAGTGTTGCTAATTGTTATCAAAATGGAATTGGAGTTGAAAAGAATGAACGTGAAGCATTCGAATATTATCAAAAATCAGCTGAAATGGGTCACGCAGGTGGAATGAACAATGTTGGTTATTGTTATCAAAATGGAATTGGAGTTGAAAAGAATGAACATGAAGCATTTAAATTTTATCAAAAATCCGCTGAGATGTGCCATGCAGGTGGAATAGAGAATGTCGGTAATTGTTATTTAAATGGAACTGGAGTTGAAAAAAATGAGCATGAGGCTTTTAAATTTTATGAAAAATCAGCAAATATGGGCTATGCAGGTGGAATAGATAGTGTTGGTTATTGCTATCAAAATGGAATTGGAGTTGAAATGAATGAACATAAAGCATTCGAATATTATCAAAAATCAGCAAATATGGGTCATGCAGGTGGAATGGATAGTGTTGGTTATTGTTATCAAAATGGAATTGGAGTCGAAAAGGATGAACATGAGGCATTTAAATATTATAAAAAATCAGCAAATATGGGTCATGCAGGTGGAATGGATAGTGTTGGTTATTGTTATAAAAATGGAATCGGAGTTGAAAAGAATGAACGTGAAGCATTCAAATATTATCAGAAATCTGCTAATATGCGTCATGCAGGTGGAACAGAGGGTGTTGGTTATTGTTATCAAAATGGAATTGGAGTTAAAAAAAATGAACCTAAGGCATTCGAGTATTATGAAAAATCAGCAAATATGGGTCATGCAGGTGGAATTGATAATGTTGGTAAATGTTATCAAAATGGAATTGGAGTTGAAAAGAATGAACATAAAGCATTCGAATATTATCAAAAATCAGCAAATATGGGTCATGCAGGTGGAATTGATAATGTTGGTAAATGTTATCAAAATGGAATTGGAGTTGAGAAGAATGAACATAAAGCATTCGAATATTATCAAAAATCAGCAAATATGGGTCATGCAGGTGGAATTAATAATGTCGGTTATTGCTATCAAAACGGAATTGGAGTTGAAAAGAATGAACATGAAGCATTTAAATATTATCAAAAATCAGCTGAAATTGGTCACGCTGGTGGAATGTATAATGTCGGCTATTGTTATAAAAATGGAATTGGAGTTGAAAAGGATGAACACGAGGCATTCAAATATTATCAAAAATCCGCTAATGCTGGTTGCAATGATCGTATAGTGTTGAATGTTGGCGGAATAAAGGTAGAACGAATATTTTAAGCTTAAAATCTAGAGAGAAAAAAGCTACCCATTTTCTAACCCTTTGATATTATTTATTTTAGTATGAAACATATCGACCAACTCTAATAGCTCATCCAGACACACTCCTTGGCACAATGTTTCAAGAGCGGAATAGACATTTACTCGATCTCACCGACCAAAACGAATACTTTTTCGACAGAGATGGTATCATATTTCGATACATCATGCAATTTTATCGTACTGGCGAAATATTTTGGCCTGAGGAAACCAATTTCATTATTTCCCCAACACAAAACCTCCACATCACCCGTCGAGAGCTCGAACTTGAGCTTGACTATTTTCAAATTCCGGTTCCTAAAAAGGATTAACATGAAGCACTCATATATAATCAAAAATTAGCTGATATGGGTATAAAAATTATTATAATGTTCACTTCTTTTCTTTCCATTTTTCAGTTGGTTTTTTTTTTGAAATAAATAAATATGAATAAACTCATCAACCATTGCTCCTCTTCATACTGGTGGGTTGTAAAAATGGAATTTGAGTTGAAAAGGATTAACAAGAATCACTTGAAAATCTGCTCATTCTAATAAGAAGACAAGTTGCTTAAATTAAGATTTTCTAAAATAGAAAATTTTGTACTTTTCATTAGCTTCAGGATTGCTTATTTTAATGTCCTTTTTCTGACTTTCACTTTTTAAATAAATAATTGAAAATCAAATTTAAATAAATAAATAAACTAATACAGTTAATCCCAAAGCATAGCCTGAATTAATGAGCTATATTATAATATAACAATAGAGCTGTGTTTATGTTTCTAGAACATAAATACAGTATGTCCTCGCCAACTTTGTTGTATTCCATTAATGTTTAACTTTCTGACGACTCTATTGACGCATTATTATAATTTATTACAAAAAAATCACGAAAACTGGTACTTGTTTTTTTTTTATTAAAATAAAAATAAAATACTGATTACATTTCCAAAATATGGGCGATATTTGATCTAAAAAAGAAGGAAATGATGCAGAAAGCTTTTTTAAATATGTAAAAAAAAGAAGCAATTAGATACAATTTGCAAAAATGCATAAAAATTGAGGAAGTAAGATCAAATACTGATGAAGCGATAAAAATTATTTCAAGGTTATATTATATAAAAAACAAACAACGTTTCTTATAAAGTTAGGTAACGATATGAACGACGGTATCATAAAATGCTATGTGACTGGATCCAATTCGCAGATTTCAAAGACGATGAAGAGTATGTTTGATTATTATGTTTGCTTTTCATAAGTTATATTAAACTTATTTAAATTGATTATATTATGTATCATTTAATGAAATAGATTGTATGTCAAGAGTGCTTTATCACTCTTTGTATAGATTTGCGTAAACATTCTAATTGACTGTGAAAATTTGACTTTATAGCGAGTAAATTGATAAATTTGCTTCATGTTTGTGTATCACTGTTTCTAATTATTAGTCCGGAGCATAGCGAAGGATTATATACTTTTATAACTAAGGTTTAATGCAGTATAGATCACGTAAGATTTCCAGTTGTCAATATATATTAATTATATTGTTAATAATAAACATGTTATATAAAAATATATATTTATATATAACAACTATACAATACATTGAATCTAATAAATATTTTGAAATAAAAAATTTTAGTTTTATAAATATAACCATAATTTTAATTTTCTGGTATCATTGAAATTAAATGCTTTTCTTCATTTATTCTTTGTTGTATTTTTTTGCAATTTTTTATATGCTGAATTCTTTCAAAATTAAATGGTTTAAATAAAAGATTTTCAAGAGTATGTATATGAAACATTGCCACATATGAGAGTCCTGCAGTAAATTCTTTTTACTAAGATCTATTATAACTTTCTGTAATATAAGACCTTGGTTTTACAGTAATTGCACAAGCAAGGTGAATAGGAATTGTAAGCATAAGCAAAAAACTCCAGATTTTCTAGTCCATATCAGGAAATTTTTGGGCAAAGATCTTTGAAGATCTTCAGGTGTAGACCTCTGAAGTAAAAATGGGTCCCTAAATTAAAAGTGAGAATATAATTCAAATGCCCCTCACTATTAAAAAGGTTTTTTTAAAAAATATAAGATCAAAAAAAAACTATCTACAAAGGTTTTTTGCAATTTAGGCCACTTAATCCAAGTGTTTTTTGAATTATATCCCTATTAATGTAATGAATAAATAATTATATCCCTTTAAAAGGGACATAATTAATCTGCAAAATTTTATATAATAAATAGTTTAGGGACTCATTCTTACTCTGAAGAACCTCCATCATTGTTAAAAAACTCCAGAGCAAAAATTAATATATTATACTCTAGAGATCTTTGATTTAATTTAATAATAATAAATTATATTTATATTTATGTATTATAATTTAATAATATTTATTTTTAAATGTTTATTGGTTTATAAAATTATTTTTATTATTATATAATTCTTGTTTATATTTATTTATTTGTTTAAATATTCACTTATTGCCAAAGTCCTTCTTTCTAATTCTTTATTTTTCAAAAATTGTCCCAGATTATTCTCAGTATTTTTACATTCCTCCAGATTATCTTCTATAGTAATAATTCAAGAATTAGTCATTTCTTCATCTTTATTACTTGAATTTTCTTCTTCAAATCTAAGTCCTTCTCTCCTAAAAATATTATTAGCAATAATTTATAATACTTCAAAAATTTTAAAAACTCATCTTATTTTTTTCTACTTTGCTTTTAATTAATGTTTAATTAATCAAAGTACTTTTATTATTTGGATTAAGAACTGTTTGACATACTACAATAGCAAATGCTACTTGTTTCTTAGAGACATCTCTCTTTGGTTAGACTTTTTCAAGAATATGAATTATTATGCTTTGTGTATTTTCTCTTAAATATTTGTAAAGGTTTTCAAAACATTTGGCAGTCTTCTGAGATAGTTTCCAGGCTAAAATGTCAGCAGCAATTGCATTTGTATTTATAGTATCCAAAAACACTTCGTTAAAAACTGAAATATGGCATCCCAAATTTTTGAAACCATAGTTTCACAAAGTGATTGATACTGTTTTACAAGCTTTTAAAGTAATAAGATATTTAATAAATAAAGAACCAAAGTTATTAATATTTATAAGAATTACAACTTGATGAATATGTTTTTTATAATATGTTTTTCAGTGTTTTCTTATAAGATCTTTATAAAATTCTAAATATTCTTACTGAAAAAATTTTTTAGTTGTTTAGTGAAAATCTTCATGATTCAGATATATTTATTCAAAAAATACTTGTTTCATGATACTCTTAACTGTATGCTATTTAAATAAAATATAAATTTTCAAAGACTTTTGAAAAAATTCAAAATGAACTTTATCTCAATAAAATTATATTTGGTAATTAAATATTGACTTGTGAATTTCATTTTCTAGGTGAGTAATCTATTTTCTATAATTTTTTGCCATTCTAACAATTGTTCAATTTTTTTATAAAGGTCTTCATGAGACTCCATTATTCTTAAAATACCTTTATTATGAACTAAGCATATAAGTTAGTATTTATTTTAAATTATACCAAATTTTTAAATATACTTGAAGTTTTTTCAAATGTTTTCCATGTTGGTATATTAAAAGAAGATTTGAAAAAATGTCCAAGTGATCTCAATTGCTTCTGAGATGTTTCTATTTCCATTTCAATAGAAGTCAAGAGTCTTCATTCAATAGCTGGTTCTTGGATTCACTAAGTACTCTTTGCCTTTTTAAAGAACTTTGAAGTACTTCCTTGATTTTTTCCTTTTTCCTTTTTAGTAAAACCAAAAATAAGTTTTTAAAATATTTTATACATTTCTTATTTTTTGTTTAACATTAAAGAAAAAATAAGAACTTTAGGGATCTTATAAAATACAAATGCCAAGAAATTATGTTGTTAAACTTAAAAGTTTAATTTTTCGAAATAAAAAATTTCATATTAAATATTAATCTAATATTAATTTTCTAATAATAAACCTATAGTATTTTTATTCGCTAAACAACTTTACTTAGAACCCAGAAAAAGGTTTTAGTAACTACTTTTGCGATAATCAAGGATTTTGATTAAATATTTATAGTATCCAATCAAAATATATTGTATATTACATAATCAAGTGATAATTCCCTAAGTTATGAATACAAAGAATTGAGAAACATGTTACAAATTAGCTTTTCATTAACTTTTCCATATTTGTATTATTTGTTACTCTCAATAATTTAGC